ATAGGCAAACTCACCAACAATAAATAGGAATTTTGAAGCAGCATACAAGAGATTAATTTTCAATTTTTTCCTGAATTTCAAATTAGAATATCTAAAATTTCGCTAGGATTCTTGAAATCAGCGGGTATTCCTTCAAATAAAAATAAAAAATGAAGCAACCGTTCGTCTTTTGGGAATTATCTATTATCCTTCAGAAAGTACGTGTATCACGCATATAAATATACAGTATGTGGGTTTATAAGTACTGTACTATCAAAAGCGTCCGAATCACATTCGAAAATCGCTTGAAATGACAAAAGACGAAAGAAAAACGCAAGAAACGAAAATTGACGGGGATAAACTCTTTTGAAATAAGAAAGTCATCGCACTCAATCTACAAACACGAGCGGACATTTGATCGTAGCCACTTTGAACGCAAACGCTGCCCAGTTTTCCACTACTGCGCGTTCGTGCCATTTCTTTAAGTCTCGCGAAACTGCCTGTTCCATTCGGCACGTTTGCAAGGATAAATCTGCGCAAACTGCCTCGGAATTCCGAGCATTGAAAAATAATCCGTGCGTGACACCACGACTTGCAGTTCCGCGAACACAAGACACCTGTTTTAACCGAGACATGTGCATAAAGATCAAAGTGATGGAATTAAATCGCCGGGTCTGAATTCACTATACAAATAAATAAAAAATAATTGCAACAATCTTCATATATACGAGGGTTCTAACAAAAGTTCTCGGAATATAAATGAAAATGGCGTCTAATCGAACTGAACAAAAAATATTCTTTAGGGAATACGTATTCTTTGGCACACGAAAAATCAGCCCTGTTTGACAATTTTTAATGTTTTGAAAAATTCATAACTTCATATCACAGAAGCACTCAATCACATGTTATCAAAATTTGTTTTAGAGAAAGCATCGGCTGTCTTATTTCTGTTATAATGATTAGTAATTACTAATCATTACCAATTACTAGTTATTAATTAGTAATTAATCACTGAGGCATTAGTAATTTCGCTTGTAATAGAAACGGGAAAATACTGTATATAAATGATACAGGTTAAATCATCGTACAGCAAATTTCCAGGCATCCCGAAAAATTGTTCGTGAAATTACTAAAAATTCCCGATTTTGTTCGATAATCGGAAAATTTATTTCTTCATACCTGGCGTTTTCTTTTAGCCATATCAGAACACTTTAACGTAAAATAACATAGTTTTCCGACAGAATGCAGCAAAAATGTCTCGCAACAAAAAGCAAATATTTTTCCCAGCACAAAAACCCTGCATCAGAGGTTCTTACAGAAGAAATCTGTGATTTAAATAGATTTAAAGCAACAACAACAACAAAAAACCGCGCGATTTTATCATCAGTACCATCCTGAAAGAAGTAAGCAAGAAAGAATTTATTACTCGTAAGTGATCATGACGAACAAAATTTTCCGACAAGTACAATAATTCGGCCAATCTAAAAAGATGACATTCTTAATTTTTTAAATAACAATTTCCCACCTCGTGAGATTTGATCAGCCGAATGGCCTGAGTGAAATCCGCGATTGTTTGAGTCCCGTGAAACGGATGACAAGCTCGCGGCTTTTTTGGCAAATGAGAACCCTTCCTCTCCAGATGTTTTATTGTCTCTTGCGGATTTTCCAAAAGGAAATTACAAGCAACTTTCTCCAAGGCAATGGTTTCTCTGACTCCGTCTCTCGACATTCCCGACCTCATAAGTGCGTCATTTGTCAAAAATACAAGAGAGAGAGAGAGAGAGAGAGAGAGAGAGAGAGAGAGAGAGAGAGAGACAGGTGGATTTAGGTTACTGAAATTAATCAATTTCAGATCAAGTGGAATACAGTACTGTAAATATGTCCAGCAATGTGCTGTGGCAAACAAAAATGTATTTTCTCTTGTGCAAAAAATAAGCTGTTATCCTAGGTAGTTGAAGTTTTACCAAAATCAAGCTCTGCTGCATCCAACCTCTTTTCTGCAAGAAGATTTTATTCCAACTCAATATATTACCCCTTAGGATAATTTAGATCAAGAAGTACTGTAATTAACTCTATAGCCAGGGCAACGTGAAATGAAGTTATACCGTATTTACTCGAGTACCACGTGCCCTTGAGTAAGGCGCGCACAGGGGTATTTCAGTTGGAAATTTGGCTAAAATCTTATACCAGAGTAAGATGCGCACCCAAATTTTTAGTGAATCTAAAACCACAAAATTTTGAAAATAAATTTAAAAAAATTTGACTTTAGACATGAATTGAACAAAAATCGGATCAATTTTCAACTTTTTCAGTACAAAAAAGTTTTCTTGTTACATTTGTTCAAAATTTCTCCATTATAATTAAGTATAATGCACACATAATTTACTAAAACTTCTTGAAAAATTTGTACCCACTGATGACGCGCATCCCTTTTTTTTCTTCTGAAATTTGAGAGCGCGTGGTACTTGGGTTCTTTTAAAGGTGCAATAATTGAAAGATATTTTGTGGACCAAACTTTCCGCAGCAAATACCAAACCAACAATGAATACCAGAGATGTGCTTGGGCACACCTTTATAGATTTGCAAGACAACAGGTGAACAGCCATGGATGTACTGCAAAGAAACCTGAACAAATGAGAAGCAGCTGATGACAACCAAATACTGTTATGTGCCATGGTTTCTATATGCACATACAGTAAAAGATGTCAAAGGAAACTCCACAGCAATTATGCATTATGAACATAACGTAGGACACTCAATTAAACATTGGATGACAAAGCCTTACTCATGCTGCAATTCTCAATGTTTTAAATTCTCATTATTGTGAAATTTGTCAAAATCCAGCATTAAAGTCGAGCAAGTTTTTTTGGCAATTAAGAAAGTTAATTTTTTGCAAATGCTAACTTCCAGATAAAGTTGAACCTCTCTAAGTCAAGGGACCAGGAACAAAATTTGACTTAGGGAGGTTTTGACTTGGGGAGGTTTTGACTTGGGGAGGTTTTGACTTGGGGAGGTTTTGATTTTTTGAGTAAAGGAAACAAATATTTTTGCTGCAAGGAAAATGGGAAATTGTAGATGAGGATATTCTGGGCCTAAACTTGCTTCTTAATGAGTTTACAGCTTGCCGAACTTGTAGGCAGGGGTTCATTTATTAAATTTATCCTTCACTTTATTTCAAAACGCATAAAATAATTTGTTTTGTTGATTTTCTCTTTCATATTTCAAGAAAATAATGACCAAAAGGCCTCAGGAAATTCGACTTACAGAGGTATGAGAGAAAACTACTTTGAGTTAGGGAGGTTTTTAATACATTGCTTCTATGGGAATCCAGACAGGGACTCAAAAAAAAATTTGAGTTAGGGAGGTATTTGACTTATAGGGAGGTTCAACTTAGCAGGTTCACCTGTATTTTAAACCGAGTTGATCGAACCAAAAATGAATGCAGGAAAGGATAAATTGGTCAAATTAAAATGAAAATGACTGGTTTGGCAAAGAAAAACTCACTTGACAGCAGCGAGGCCAGCCAGAGCCGAAGGCACAGAAAAGGGCAATATTCCGAAAGGCCCTCCGTGAACTCTAACAACAAAACCTTTCCACACCGTGGTTTCCCTAAGTTTCCAGACTAATTCCCGTCGTGCCAAAAGTTTGTCAAGCCCAAACTCGGAAAAATGTGTGGCGCAATCCGCCAAAGCGTTCGCATTTACGAATTCCGCTTTGCACCATTGGTCCTCGGTCAAAGGCAGATCCAACTCCGCAAATAACAGAGGATGCGAAGAACGCACAGCTTTCGCAATCTTCGGCAAATGAACAGATACGATATTTATTTTTTCACCTAAATGTATTCAAATGATATTTTATTGATTTTTTGCACTTTAAAAGTCCTGCGATACGAGTCTCCAAGGCTGAGAGCCTTTAAGCAATTTTTCAATTAACCATCGGATTGTCGATATTCGTGAAACATCCGTCCAATTACAATTCAAAGAAGAACGATCACGAATACTTTTTTTGAACATCTAATGCCATCTTTTGTTTCAAAATGTCTTAAGTTTCAGTTTTCTTTGATGATCCTTATCACATACAGAACCTCGATTAATATTTTCTCTCTGCTCACTTTAATTTATCATTCGTGGCATCGCCCACTTGATGCATAATGATTAATTTCCCGCGATTTTTTTTTTGTGTGTGTGGAAAATAATGTACTGTACCATCACATTTTCAGAAATGCTCTTGATTACATAAAAAAATTTGCAAAAGATTTGCGCGTCACGAAGAATTTCGAAGGATGTATATGCTCTTCGTTGCTCAATTTATACTCCACTGTGCCAAGTAAAAAAAATATTTCGCTTCAATTTTCATATAAGCAGATTGAGGTAT